CGGGGCCCCGGGCCGGCACCCCGGCCTTGGCAGGTGCCGGCGGCCCAGGCCGGCCCTGGCCTGGCTTGGTCGCTCTTCCCCAGAACCGTGCTGTGGGGGAGGGGGGGTGGCCCACGGAACCCTCCTGGATAGACAAGGAAACCGAGCCGGCGAAGAAACGGTGCGGGCTGGGCACGACCAGGCGGATCGAAGAGGCAAGCCCTGGACTAAGATCGCAGGCCTTCCCAGGCCTCGAGCAGCGGGGCCCAGGGCGGCTTCTTCTCCCGCCCCAGGAGGGGCTGCAAGCCCACCCAGAGGCCCCTCCGCCACCGCGTGAGCGAGCGTGGTCACGTCCGTGCTGGGCCCTGCGGGGGCCTGCGGTGAAGGGACAAGGCCCGATCCTCCCTGTGGTTAGTGAGGGGTTAGGGTCTGCACCTAGCCTAGGCAGGGCCCTCTGTGAACTCTTGACCCCAGGGGGAGGGGCAGCCGGAGCAGTTGGGAAGGTGGCTACTGTTTGGCTCGAGCCTGTGAACCTCTTGCCCCCAGGCAGGCCTCTCTGATCCACTCTCTTCAAAGGCCGGGGAAGGGGGCAGGACAAAGGCTCAGCTTTAATGAGGGGCGGCTTGACCTTTATGGGTCCCCCCCCTTTGTCATGTAACTGGCCGTGTCTCAGCTCAGTAGTGACTCCTGCTGGCTGGGAAGTGAACAGGACACTCCATTGTCCAGATTGTGTTCTTCTTGTTCTGACAAAGACCACCTGGCCTTGGGGGCGGGAAGCTGGCCTGCCCCTCCTTTGATGTGGGTCTCCTCCCTTCCTCCCCCCCCCCCCCCCCCCGCAGCTGCAGCAAGCCGGGGACACTTCCCTCACCTCCTCTGTCTCCTCACCCCCACCTTCCGCGGTACCCAGGTACTCCTGGGCTGATGCTGAGGGGGTGGTCAGTAGACAGTCTCAGACTGTGCCCTGCATCTCCTTGGAAGTACCAATTTCCTGACTGCATCCAGGGAGATGCAGGTCACCAGCTCTGCTACTCGTTTAACGCTATGATTTCACCTACTTGAAAATGGAGAGACTATGGCACTGAGAAATTCATAATTTGCCCAAGGCCACATAACCCTTCACTAGGAGGACTGGGATTTGAACTCAGGTTAATTAACAACCATACTTGTGTTCTAACTCCCTACCCAACCAGTTCCCAGATCATGAGTCATTTTTTTTGGTGAAATAGGAGAGGAACAAGGTTGTATGGCTTGTCGTGAGTTACAGACTCTGGAGAACTCAGGAAGTCCCCATTTTCCCCCAGAGGGAAGGTTCCAGAGGCCTCCAGAGGCTTTGCAAATGCTCTGGGAATAAGAATAATGCCACATTTGAGGGTCTGAGAGGAGGTGAGGGCCTTACCCACGGCATCCTGCAAGCTATGGCTGGAAAGCCTAGAGTAGTAAGCTGCCTTTCCTCTTCCACCTGTTTCCTGCTGATGGGAAGGTACCCTGTGGGAAGGCCTTCAGGGGGCCATGCTAGGGGTTGGAGGATGGAGCATTGCAGGCTGTGTGATGTCAGACAAGTCACATTGCCTCTCTAGCACAAGAGCTGCATATCCCAGCAGCCTGTCTGCTCAGATCATGTGACTGTTACTACTGGTGTTTCTGAAGTGGAGACCATACTTTTCCCCTCAGTTTCTCTCTTGGGGTAGAGAAGGCATAGGTTCTGCTGTAATGCTGCTGCCTGGGACAGCTGAGAGAAGTCACTTCATGTCACTGCTCCCCAGCCCCCAGTGATACTGCCTACCTGTTCTTCAGGCTGCTGAGCCCCTTGTATTCTAGACTATTTGAACAGTTAGAAAGAAGATATATGAATGGAAATTGAGGTCCAGAGACTGCAAGGCAGGCTGATTGGGGTAGATGGATGTTGGGTTCTTTTCTGTGGTTCTATAATGAACTCCCATGTACCTTTCTGAGCTCTGAAGACGATCCAACCCCCATGTCTGGGCCTCATCTCCCTCCCCCGCCTCATCCTGGGCCACTCCATTTGGCCACTCTGCTTTCCTTAAGTTCTTTGGGCTTGTCAAGGCTTGTTTAAGATGCACCTGTGGTTCCTTCTTCCAGCAAAGTTTTTCCTCTTGATTCCTTGAATGCCTGGCTCGTTCTTACCCTCCAGATCATAGTTTAATAGTCACCTCCATGATCCCCAAATTAGACAATTCCATGTCCGCTAATCATCTTTTCCATGTTCCCCTTATAGCACTAACTCCAATTCCAATTTACTCTCGTACTTGCATGTATGTTTGAATGGTATCTATACCCAAGTGGCTCAGAGGCGTGTCTGATCTGCTATTGTGCCAGGGTACAAAGTGCAGTGTGTAGATCTAGCAAGTGCTCTATGCATTTTATGAATGAACCAACTGGACAGGAAATGCCTCTGGGAGGACAGAGCGGAGTAAGATCTTGGTTTCCACATTTGCTTCTGGGGTCACTACCTGGAGATTGGACCCATGACTGCATAGGCAGCAGATTGGGCTAGTAGTGGAAGCAGCTTCCTCACCATATTGTCACAGTGCTCCTGACTCACCTGGGAGTTGAGTTGCTGAGGCTGGGGCTGAGACTTGTCTCTGTCTATGCAGGAAGGGGTAAGGGAAAGCCTAGTGGGCCTCAGCTAGGCTGTGGTTCCCAGTCCAAGTGAGTGGTATTACCTGATGGGAGCCAAGTAGGAGTGGCCAGCAGGGGCTCTGTTGTGTTCTCTTACCTCCCTGTTTTCACACATGTCAGCATCCAGTGGCAGGGCTGCCGTCAACTCTCTGGTAGGCTCAGCCTAACTCCATGTGACCCAACCACCCATCAGGGTGGCTGAGGATTCACAGGTGTTCACACAGATTACAAGACTTGTACTGCAGGGCTTAGGTTCTAGCCCAATTCCTTCATTTCTCAGATGGGGAAACTAAGGCACGTGGAGAAGGCCCTGTCTCTTAGTCCGTTGCCAGAGTCACTAACCTGATCCCTTACCCTCAGCCTCCCAAGGATGCCCCTGCTATCTTCTATACCACTGCTAAACTTACCAAGGCCCCCCCCTGCTCAAGAGGATCCCTTAGTTCCCCACCAGGGTGGAATGGTTACTTCACTGGAAAAATCTAGCCCTATTCTACAGCATTCAGAGCCCGCTTTGGAAGTAGCCCCAACACAGTGCTGAGACACTGTCTCTCTACTTAGCTTGGACATCAGCCATGATGCTCACTAGGAACAGGTAAGAACCCGGCTGGGGAGTCTTGGATCTGGGGTTATAGTTCCATTAGTGGCTGTAAAGCCCTAAAGCACAGGACCTTGGACCATTTCTGAGAGCTGCGTTTTTCTCCATTGTAGCATTAGAACACCTTGAAGCTTGCCACAGGTGGTAGATGCCTCTACTGTCACACCTCACACCTCTTGCCTTCCCAGTCTGGGCCTATGACCTGCGCTGCCCTCCTTTCTCTCTCTTGTATCTTCACTGGTTCAAATGCTGCTCCATCTCTGAAGGAAGCCCTGCTTGAATCTCTCTGCTCCAAGTTCTCTTCGGGCTATTGTTTTAGCAATACGTATCAATTATTATCTACTTTGAATCTCTGTCAGCTGCTGTCTGTTATTCCTTTGAGGACCTACCATGCCTTGCACATAGTAGGAGCTCATGATAAAACTAATGAATGGCACTGGCAGAAGTTCTCCCACATAGCAGGGACTGTGCCAAGAGCTTTTCTTGGTAACCTCGCTTGTCTCATAATAGCTCCAAGAGGTGTAAGGATATTAATGAGCTCAGTTTACAAATGAAGCTGACAAGGCTCAGAGAGGTAAGGTATCCTGCCCAAGCTTACATGGCTAGGGAATGACAGCGTGTGGTTAGGGCCAGAGTCCACAGCCCACCGAGCCTCTGTCTAATGAATCAACACACGCTCCAGGACTCAGCCTGAGCCCCCTCCCCCTTCCATGTGGTTCCAGCCCCAGGTGGGGAAAGGAGGCCAGCCAGGGAGGATATGAGGGGCTGGGTGTGGGACAAGGGAGGGCTCACAGCAGGGCTGTTTAAAGCTGGCTCTCAAGGCAGAAGCCTCACTTGACACCTCAGCTCTCAGATGTAGCTGGGAAGAGGAATGACCTAGTTAGAAAGAAGGTGGCAGGAGGCTTTTTTTGGTTGAAGGTTGTTCCCCTCTCTATCCCTTTAGCGTTAGTAGATTTTGCTGCTTGGAGCCCAGGGGATTGCTCTGCAGGGGCAAAGGCATTGCTAGCAGCAGGGCCTGCTTTTCAGTGGACAGTCCGGTGTCTTCACAGCTGGCCTCTCAGGGTTCTGTCTTGGCGATCCATAAGCAATAATTACACGTAAGAGTTGGAGCCATCATGTTTACATGCCAAATACTCTCTGTGCCTCCTCTCCCCTAACCCCTACATGAGAGCAAAGAAGGAACCAGCTGTGGATTGCTGCTTTATGCTCAGTATCTTCCTATGCCCTCCTGCTGCCCTTGTATTCAGCCCAGCCCCTCTTCTGGAGGACCTAGTAGCCCTCTAGCCTCATCTTGTGCCTTCTTACCCATCCATTCATTCTTCATCCATCCATCCATTCACGTACCCATTCATCCATCTCCTTCCATCTGTCCATTCATTCAACCATTCATCCATCAATTCATTCATCCATCCATCTATTCATCCATTCATTTACCCATTCATCCATCTTCCATCTGTCCACCAATCCATCCTTCCATTCTTTCAGCCTTTCGTTTATCCATCAATTCATTCATTCATTCATACATACTTCCACCCATTTACCGTTATTCATTCATATATTCTTTATTCAGAAGGAAGACAGGACTGTTCTGTTCTGTGCCAAAGATTTTTCTAGGTGCTGGAGACTATGATTGAATAAGTCCAGTGGCATTTATCCATAAAGAGCTGGCACTGGACCCTCACCCTGCTCCCCCCTGCCTGAGGGCTTTTGCAC